AGCCGTGCGCAAGCTTGCTTGACAGCCTCTGGGTCGTTTTTGAAACTCGCCATGCATAATGAGAGTCTTGTTGGAGCCCCGCCTTTTGCCATGCGAACAGTATGTTTGCATACAGGAGGCCTGCGGCGCGCCAACCCCCCGCTTGTGCAAGCTCGCTTGGCAGCATATCGATTTTTGTTTGAAACCAACCCCCCTCTACAGCCTATGAGTCGTTTTTGAATCCCACTATGCATAACATGAGTCTTATTGAAACCCCGCCATTCCAAAGGCGAGCAGTGCGTTTGCTAATGGAGGGGCCTTCGCCCGCCCAGCCCCCGCTTGTGCAAGCTTGCTTGACAGCAAAGGAGTTTTACTTCGAAACCAACCATGCGAGCATTGCGTTTGCAAATGGAGGGGCCCACGCTGTTTTAAGCCGTGCTTGAAAGCATATGCGTCTTTTTTGAAACGCACCATGCATTACATGAATCTACTTGAAACCCCGCCACTCACCCTTCGAACAGTGTGTTTGCAAATGGCCCCCGCTTGTGCCGTCCGACGCACAAGTCCCACTTTATCGTCTAAACGCATGAGGCGATGAGGACGCAGGTAAGGACCCACCCGATGAAATACATGAATCCATGGTCTCAGGTTTGCGAGAGCTTAGCACGGCACGCAGACATCTTAATCAGGCCGACTTCCGGAGCGACCACTTCCCTAGGTTTTCAAAACGGGAAAAAAAGTCACGACCGAGCTGCGGTGTAGGCATCTTCAGCTCTGCTTTGTGTTTGTGCAGTGCAACAGCCTAGCACGTCATCTCGCACGCAGGTGCTTGTTAAGCTCTTGTATTGCATGGTGGTTTCCAGGCGTTGACGTACTTGCCTAAACTCCAATGTAAATTCTCGACCCCGAACAGACGCGCTGGTCCTATTTTTCGTGACACTGGGGGGTGTCTGGAAACAGGTCTGGGGAGGGGGGTTGGGATGTAAGCATTTCCTAGCCATGTATGCCCGCACCATCCCGTGTCCCGCACTAACCCGCGACCCTAGCCTCAACCTCAAGGCCTCTGCAGGATTAAATTACAGCTTTTCCCATCTTCTAGCACCCTTTATAATAGCCATCGCGATCCTACTCCATTACTACGCCGTGTATGCCCCGGTGACAGTCCCGAACCCCCCTCCCCCACTCACGGATGTCGGGAAATAGGCCCAGACCTATTTCCACCCTTTCCCCCACTCCCCCCCTCACAAAACCGGGAAAATCCGTAAGCCACGAGCACCCTGCTCTCTCCGGCGTGAAAAGTGTGGTCGACGTAGCTGACCGAGGCGGAGGGCGAGAATCGTTAATTTAATTGAATAATCTCACTGCATGTTTCAGCGTGATGCACCTCGCCTTTCAGCGCACCTTCCCTGAGGTTTGCGTGAATGCATTTGCAGTTTGCTTTTCTTTTTTCCCACTCTCTCCTCCAGTCAGTGAGATTTTTCATGTTTTCCCGTGGCCCGAACAGGCGGTTTCTTTCCCGTAACGACCACTCTTGCATCATGGCTGAAATTTCTCCAAGTCGAGCCATGACTCCAGATCAATCTTCTTCGGATTCATCGCTGCATTCGGCTTTTGACACGCCATCGCCGCAGACTGCTGCGAAGTGCTCCGAAATTATGCAAGAAACGGAGCAAACAGTTCAAAACGAAACCTAAGAAAAAGTCACAAAAAGTGACTCGACATTCGGATGTGGATTTGGGGATCGATTTCACCTTGGAACAGACACTTCGTGGAGGAGAGACGACCCCAAAAGACACCTCCACATCGACAAGCACACAAAGAAGTTCTATACTAACCGCAGCCAGGCTTATGCTTCGCACCGGAGTTCGTTGTGCATGTCATTTTTTACTTAAACATCTGTGTTCTGCCAAGCTCATGGCTGATGAGTTTGGGTGGCCCAACCATACGGCCTCATCGTCAGGATTGGCAAAGCGACGCTGAGGGGTTGCTTACGGTTCTTCGATTTGTCGTGCATCAATCCTCGTTGCTTAATGGTGTAAAAGTTTTCATTTGCACCAGCATATCTCCTGGTTGCTCTCTTTTTTTTCCACATCTGATGCATATGTTTTTCTGACCTCGCCGCCTTAAGATCTTTGTGCGGCCATCTTTCTCGCTTCAAGCATGCCCGAGCAACCACGATCAAGATCTCCATCCTTCACATTGAGATTCCATTGGACCACTGATGGAAGCAAGTGTTGGGAAGTGTGGTTTCCTGCCACACAAGTGGCTAAACCGGAAATTACACCAAGGAGGCAGTGAACGTGCTGAAGTTGATTGTCAACACGCGGTGGCGGATTCGCCTCGCAAGGGAAAGAGATCCGAACCACCCTGAGTGAACATGGCCTTAATTCGTGCGTGTCAACACTGCATAATATTGCCAGATGTTTCTCGCACTGGTCCCCCGCCGTTTCCTATGGGACTTTTCCGGGTATGAGTCCTGCAGTCCTGCAGCCTTTTGCGCTGAAAAGAAAGTGGTCCACAGTGCATTGTAAATCTGTTAGGTACTCCCCCATGACGGGAGTACCGGTGGGTGGGTTGGTGAATGGGTGGGTGGGTGCCTGTGCAGGTTTTTGCTTCTGAAGACGATAATTGTTTGTAGCATTGCGTTTGTTGGCCTCCAGAGTGTGTTGTTGGGTGTGTGCAGATGGATTCGGTCTAGTAAAAATACGTTCTCCTGGCGTGCTCCCAGCGCGGAGCGGTGCCTGTTGCATTCCGGCTGTCAGTGATGCCAGGTGAGGTTGCCATCCAGCCGCGACATAGTGCCGAAATCAGTTTACCCCGAGGCTGTCCATCCACGACCTCGGCTGTGGCAATTTGAGCAGGACGCACCCTATTCTGCATGAGACTGGACTTGCACCGGAGCATGCGCCCGAGCCCACGGAGCACGAAGCCAGTGACTTGAGCACAATTTGTAGCCAATCTTGCTTCCGTGTCTGCAAGATGTGTTCGATAGCCGTTTGCTGAGGCTACTGGCTGGGTGCCTTAGCCAATCTTCAATAGTCTCTGCCATTGCGTGGTTTGAGTTCAGAGATGTTCAGGAACATGCAGTGCTGAGGAGTTTTGGGCCAGAAAAAGCTGATGGTCATGCTCTGTCTTGGCCCTGTCCGGGGGACCTTAGAGCTACAGCCATACGATGAAGATGCTGAAGCGCACGAGATCTCGACCGTGCCAGGACTGCGACTTCCTAGTCGGTTCTGAGTTCTGAGCGTTTGTTGTTGCACTTCAGCTTTACGATTCGGAGGAACTGTTATAATTCTTCGTGCTGATGGTATGTGGCATCGACACTGCGCACACTCAAAAGCGCATATCTTGAGCTGCTTTCTGGTCGGGCAAGATTCCGGAGGCACGAAGCGGACGGGGCAGCCTTCCTGGGTGCCTCCATGTGCCCGTGATTTGGAGCAGTGGACTGTGGAGCGGATGAGATATTTGAAGGAAGTCCAATCAAAGGCACCAAAGGAGAAGCTTGACCTACCGGTTGGCTGGTTGACAGCCATGAACCACATGTTTCACACCGCGCAGCGCGTTGCTGTTAGATCTATTGCTGCGAGATATGCAAGCACATGGGATGTGCAATCCTGGTACATGTCGCAAACCGCCGGCCCCGACTTTGTTTCGGAAGTACCGCTGACAAGGTGGGACGTGAATTTGTATTACGATGCCGACGACTCTCGTCAGCTCTTGCTCAATTTTTGTTTTGCTTCAAGGTGCTTTTATGATCTCACTTGAGTGGTGCATTGTCGTGGTCAGGTTGAGAACTGGCGAGCGTACAAGACTATCTCTAGACACGGGTCTTTCGTGGATGGAACAGAATATTTTGACAACAAGTTTTTTGGCCTGTCGCCGATGGAAGCAAAGGCAGGAACTGCATGGCTTGTGACGGGTTGTGCTGTCGTCTCCAGCCATTTGTTGAAACATCCTGTTCAGGGAATGGATCCCCACCAGCGTGTGGTCCTGGAGGTTGGTTACGAGGCTTGCCACGGGGCCGGCTACAGCAAGGGGAAGTTGATGAACAAGATCGGCTCGAAACCAAGCATGCTTTCCTGGTCACCCTCCCCCCCAACCGCGAGTATACATTTAAATCGCATGACATCCGAAACGTTTAAGGCGGTGTCTACCTGGGAAGCAGCTCGCACCTTGTTTGCGCTAAATGATAGGCAGATGCGGAGTCAGCACGGCTGGAACTGTGTCCGTCTCACCGGTTCCTACTCTCTGGACATGGGTTGCATGGAGTCTTCCATGTCCTGAAGGACAATTTTTGGCATGGTGTCAGAAGTCAGTGGAGCGACTGGTGGTGCTGCGAGTATCAACTCGAATCGCTTCAGTTTCTGTTGCCTGGCAGCCTTTCCGGTTGAGTTTTGACATTGGCATGACATGCTGAAGACGGCACACAACGCGCATGCAGAGGAACGGAGGTTCATCCGCTAGGGATGGCCAGTTGCTCCGTGGCTGGAGCAATGGAAACAAACGGCTTTCAAAACAGACAGCACATTGCGAGGAGTGGGGTCTGGCAAGCCTGGAGACCAAACAAATCTCATAACAAGCCATCTTCCGGTTTCACATTGCAAAGTCACCGACTCACCAAGACCGAATCTTCCCCCGCATTTTTGGAGCTCCTAGCAATCATTGCATTTTTGGACCGCGACTTCACAAGCAACCCCGCCGGTAGCCAACCAGACTGCCCGCACGAGGTCTTTGGACAGATTAACATGTTTGCCCCAGGTTTGGGCCTGAAAGGCCCCAGTATGACCTGCGATACGGACGGCTCATCGTCCCTAACTGCAATTCATCTCGGTGGCGAAGCAGTCCTTCAAAAGGGCCATGGTGTCAGCAACGAGCCACTTGACTGCCTTTACCCCCAACATATCAGGTTGCGAAGACTAGATTCGGCGGTTTAGATCAAGAGGCAAGGTCCCACACACCCGTATTCTTGTGCGTCTACAAGTGAGGTTCTCCTTAGCAGGAGGAGTTGCGTTTCAACTCGGGCCACTGTGGCTGCCGCAAATGCAAGCTGCCGGGCTGCTGGCAGGCCGTCGAAGGGAGGAGTTCTTCTGGGAAGGCGATGGATGTTCATTGGTTCTTGTGCAGGCATCGGTCGCTGCTTCACCTGGGATGCAAGTGCTGCCCCCAGATGGTGCTATCGTGATCCGAAGCAGCTTCACTTGCACGAACGCTCCTTGGAAAGTTGAGGTGCGCAAGGATACACACTTGGAGACTCAGTTCCACTTGAGATCCGTGCACACATTTTGATCTCGCGTCAGAGACAGAGACAGCGCGACCACTCCTCAGGCGATGGGTGCGGCTTCGCTGTACAGAAGCGAATGGCCGAGTGGGTGGATGGAAAGCAAGTTTACATCGAAGGGGAGCCCCTCGTGTCCGCCTCAGAATCCTAGGTGGCTAAAACTTGCGATACAGCAGCTCCAAGATGCTCCAAGGTTGGAAGCATTTGTGGAAGCTCCTGCGGGAGCGTGGGGATGGCAGCAGCGATGCATGCCCCACACGGACCGTCGGAGCAGGAGAACATTGCACAAGCGCTGCAGACAGCAGCTTGGCACATGTTCCAACAGAGTTGTCAAAGTACGTGCCACCCGATAGCCAGCTGACCAGGCAATGCTAGATGCGCTGAACATTGATGCCGTGGAATGCAATGGCCAGGGAGCTTTGCTTCGATCCTTGCTTGCATCACGCCGCGAATAACTGTCGAGTGCCAGCTTCTCCCCGCTCTCAACTTACAAGCACGGTCGCATCAAGGCCCATTGTCCTACGCTCCTCTTGCCTCCCTGCTCCCGTCCAATGAAAACAGAAGTCTTTGTCTTAGATTGAGGTTCGTGTTGTTGCTTCAGGCTGTTTCAGGTTCAAGAGGACAGGCATCTTACATTATTGGATTACCCGAATGAGGGCACAGCGGTTCATAAGCATCCTCCTGGCGCTGGAGCATCATCCCTTGTCTAGTTCACCCTCCGAGCGTTGAGGAGAGGCTGCCTGCCGCACGCAGCCTCGTGCTTCTTTCTTGTCTTGTTCATCAGACCAGCAGAAGTACCGAACCTGGATGCACAAATGCTCGACACTCTGCCTCGCTGTGTTGATCCGGCCGTCTGAGGAGACGCTGTCGAAGTCGACTCCCTTTTACGTGTACTGCGTGGCGATGATGTTCAGGCTACTGTGGTGAGTTGGAGAGTTTACAAACCTGTGCAGTAGCCGGGGGGTCATTTGTGTTTCCTTCCTTCCGGGAGCTTGAGATGTCACGAGAGGTTGCCGTAAAGGTAGTTGTGAAGTGCGACTAAAAGTAGTATCTAAGTCTCGAACTTCCTCCGTTTTGCCCGCCGCAAATGTTCGCCATGGTCGCTGCACAAGTCGGACAGACTTTGGGTTTTCGGAAGCTTTGCATTCTTCACAGGCTCCGCTGACACTCACGTCAGTGAAGAGCCGCATGGGCTTCGCGACAGAGTGTGCTGGCATTGCCGCACTGCATCGTCTCCTCTTGTCTGCTGTTTGGGGCGTCATTTCTCCAAACAACCATCTCCAGCAACTGAATCCTCATCTGGAGTTCGAGAACAAGGCCGGGATGCTCACAGCATCTCGGCTTTAAATGCTAATGCCAGGCTTGAACCCTTCTTGCATTTCTTCAGTGGCGAACACGCTGTGAGCAAAGGAGCCGCAGGAAACAGCGCTGCGCAGCACCTATATGGGCGTGTCGGCTCATGGCTTTGGTGGCACGCAGGTCCACGTAATTTCCTATGGCCACAGTCAGCAGATCAGGACCTTGTTCAAACATCTGTCTCTTGTCGAAGAGTATTCATTTCGGATCCCTTGTCCGTTAGGACGGTACCGCAGCCGGAGCGCAGTCGCAACGTTTTCAACTTCTGGCCCGGTGGCGGAGGTGAGCTTGAAGAGGCAGTCCCTTCACGTGATGGTGCAGGGAAGCCTTGGCATGCTCCCACTCTGTTCTTGTGATGCGTCTTAGCGTGCTATACAAGGCTGCGCATATATTTTCAGGAGCAGCAACCATTGCGCGGCTATTTCATTGCGGGGACTTGGACAAAGTGGAGGGCCATCAAAATGGAGAGTGAAGGTTGGGCTTGTTTGTTTGCGGGCTGCTCATTTGAGCATCCTTTCCATATCAGGTGATGAGACCTATGGATACACTCTTGTCCTTGGAGAGAATCGCTGGGAAGAGTCCCGGTCTTACTTCCTCTTGACTTTGTGATGGGCGGCGCTGTGGACGTGTAACAACAAGAAAGTCAGAGCACGAAAGACCTTCCAAACCTTTCCGAATGATGCCGTAGATGCATCAGTGAGAAGCAATGTGGGCTGATGGACAAACAGACATCCCATTTAACTGCTGTTCTATCTGTTCTTTTGCCACGACGACGCAACATTTCCAGCATGACACGGCAATGCAAACAACGCTCACTGCTCGGGTGCCCTGGACATTCTTTGGCCGAGCACCTGACATAGCCGGTTCAGCAGTTCATAAAGTTAAAGCACATTCTCCATGACTCTCTCGCAGACATCTGCCATCATTTGCCATCAGTTTCCCTTGTTTCGATGGACGCGAGGTTTCAGATTCTCCTTGATGGTGCCCTGGCATTCCTCTGTCGGACTGGACTTCCGTTGCGTGAAGTCAGGGAACTCGAACACACACACACACACACGAGAGCCTTTGTGAAGTAGAGGGTCGCAGTTGGCCCTACGTTATCCTAGATAGCAGGGCCGCAAGCCAGCAAGTGCATCTTGCGGAGAAGGCTGGCCAAGTTCGGCCCTGTGCAAGCTAAGGTGACGAAAGAAGGAGCGGCAAAGTTTTGCATTTGTTTGGGCTGTATTTATTTCTTGCTTTCCTATGTGAGTGATGTGCTCCGGTCTCCCATGTACTACACGATTGGCTATACTTATGAGTGGAGGCCCCTGGAACTGCTGGGAAAGTCTGAAAGAGTTATTTAAGGGCTGCACCAGGTGTGGGCAGCGCAGGCAGTCCTCTCCGAGAGTTAACACATCATGGCGGAAAGACTGCAGGTTTTGAAGGAGGCAGGCCCTGGCGACCACGGCGGGGCCACTTTTCCTCCCAGAAATTGTAATTGTTCTTAACAGACCGTCCCGGACTAGCTGTAGTGACTGAAGTCTTTCCACAGATAGAGTTTGAGATCGCATGTGCGCATTTGCAGCAGTGAGATAAGCGGCAAGTAAAGCAAGGTTGGCCATTCAATGGAGAAGGAGCCCACACGACCCCACCCTCCCCAAAGAAAAACAAGCACCTTTGCGCGGGGGCCGCGCGGCGGGAGAGTGGGGGCAGCGGGCCGGCCGCCGCTCACACTCCTTGGGTTCCCGCTCATACTTTTTTTGCTGTATTTTGCAGCAAAAAATGTGAGCAGGACATCATGAATTTGCATCTGAGCGGGAGTGTGAGGGGATCCAGAGTGTGAGCGGGACTGTGAGAGGAGTGTGAGTTCGGGGTTGGGAACCAAAGGGGTTCGGGCCCGCTGCAGACCCGGCAGCTTGCATGCCTAGCTGGAATAGCCTTTGAAGTCTATGGGTGGTTGATCGCAGGTATTGGCCACCACATCCTCCCACATTTATCATATTTATTTCTCACTCCCGACTTCATTTGGTGAAATCGCTTTGAAATCATGCTGGCATTACACTCATGCTCAGACATCATCTCATGATTATCTCTTACTTCATGTAAGCAGTAAATAATCATAATAATATCTCATGCTGCAATTTTCCGTTCATGCCTCTGCTCTCACTTCTCCCACATGTCATGTAGGGATGGAGCATGATGGTGCATCGTGATCACAGTTCATGTTGGCATAGTTCTTCATGCCCACACTCCCCTCACACTTCACGTTGGGATGATTTTTCAGGCTCACACTTTCTCTTTCACTCAAGCTCACTATACTTGCTCACGAAATAGCTATTTCCTTGATTCCAGAGCTTGCAAGGCAGCTCCACTCATAAGGCTTTGCAATCTAAGCAAGCAGTGTAAATGGCTCCCTTCGCTCACGTTCAGTTCGGTCATTGGCAGGAGGCTTCACCCTGCGAAACCTCTAGCTTCGAAGGGTTTGGTCGTCCATGGGCCATCTGGAAAGGCAAGGCAAACGTCTCATTGGATGAGCTGGGTTTTGCTCATGCCGAGACTCCAAGCTTGAGAGGCCCGTGGGTTGAACTGGAGGATAGAAGGTTGCTGGCTTAGACCTGGTGGTGCGAAACTCGTGGGAACTGACAGACTTGGCAGTGAATGTGAGGTCGTGGTCGATGGGTGGACGTGCCAACAGATGCCGCTGCAGCGGTTGTGCTTGGTGATGCTGAAAAGACTTCCAAAGCAATCCAGGCAGCTGAGCTGCACGTGGCGAAGCGATAGCCGGTTCAAGCACATGAGTGGTTGTGTTTTTGTTTCGGTGCCTTCACCGTTCAACCATGAAAGTTGGCCAGTCGTTGTCAAACTTACTTTGTATTGTGCGGCACTTCGCCAGAAGCATGCAAGCTGCTGGATGCTGGGTATTTCCATAGCCCATAGCGACGGGCACTGTGTTCGTATAATAAGTTTAAAAGTGAGACATAGGAAGACTTCTTCTTGAGAGTCTACTGGTTACTGGCCCTTTTCTCATGGGTGAGCGGGCTGCAGGCATGTCACTTTTGTGGGTTGTTGCATGCGTCGTCAGGCTTCCGTCCAGATTCTCGTGTGCCCGCGAGCATGTGTCCCAAGGCAATTACCAGCAGCCTGTCTGACGGGTCATGGGCCTAGACTGGCTTGAGCCTTACAGTCAGCCACAAGCCTGACTTCGGCCGAGGTCAACTCAAGCGGGTGAGCTCCAACTGATGGAAGTCGGAAGTGGCGATGTTGGCATGCCCGGGGACAAGTATCGTATCAGGCTTCGGATTGCTGGGAAATACAGATTCTTGGCCTCTGAATCCAAGAGCACCTCTTTCAGAGAATGTTATCCAGCGTTTGGCCCAGTGAGGAACGGTTCTGTGGGACAAGCTTCCCACAGAAGACTATGATACAGCAGCGGATGCTCCCGAGGGCACTCAGCCCAGCAGACGTGACGTTGTCCGGCAGTGAGGGTCAGACCGTATGCACCGACCCAGGTGACTACCACATTGTTGGGAGCTGGAATGGCTGGTCGCCTGATCCATTGTTTCTTCGAAACGAGATCTGGTCTACAGAGGCCTATGCCACCTGGGAAGTCCGCCGTCTTGAGCCTGCGATGGGATAGCAGAGTGTTCTGGCGAACTTCGCGAGCGTCGACATGGCACTGCCTGTAGAGTTCCTGTGGCCCAACAGTGTGTAGGCAGTTGATCAGACGACTCCGAAGCTCGCCACACCTGCCCCTGTAACTTCTTCCAACTCAATGCAAAACTATCTTGCACCAACGGCCTTGTGAACTCAGAACCAGCGACGACAGGTGGAGTTGACAAAGAAAGGAGGCGACTTCCAGATATTGCGGAATGAGGACGTTGTTTGCAACATTGAACTCCCAAGTTGCCCGAGTCAAGACGTAAAGCGACCTACGTGTGCGACGTGAAGGAGTGTTGAAGCTTGTTGGTAGCTGAGCTTTCGATCCTAAGCAGGCTGGTTCGACTGCTTCTGTCTATATTCAGTGTTTCTTTTTACAGCGGGGTGTCGCTCGAATTGGGGGAGAGCCGTTGGTGAAGATGAGCCATAAGATCTGCAGCGCTCCTTTTTTTCAAGCAGGACTGGGGTCAGATGATCGCTCCACTGCACGAAAAGGCTAGTCCTTCCGATGCTGGTCAAGGCTTCTTGGGAAGTTGAAAGCAGAATTCTCAATAATTGCGAGTGCGGTGACATCCAGGACCGGATCGCTGCGGCCGGTTCCGGGGCTGTGCTTGGAGTTTAGACGGGCAGCCTGGGGACGTTTTCCGGATATCGCCATCGTCTCAGTATCAGTTTCTGTGAGTACTCCTGCCCCGACTTCGGCTGCACACAGAGGTACATGACATTTTTTGCTGCTACGATGCAAGGTTCAAGCGCCAGTTGATCAAGGATTCCTCCGGCGACCCTTCTATAATCGATCTGCAAGAGCGGGAGCGGGGCAGAGCTGCGGGCCTCAGGTAGACTGGACGATGTAAAGCAGGTCTCCTGGGAGAAGTTGCGGGAGGCTCCCGCGTGCGCCCAGGTATAAAAAACTCTGCCAAAGCCTGGAACGTTAGGCTGGCCCTTCCGAGACGCTGTCTCTCAAACATCAAAGCGGCACTCTTGGGGTCATTGGTTCGTGGCCATGTTCTCGGCAATCTCTCATACAGCGCTAGAATCACCTGCTGCTCATGACGCTCATTCGCTGGCACGGGTAATGCGCACGATCCTGCAAGGAATGGGTTTGGCAGAGTGCACAAGATGCACGCAGAGTTTATGGATGGACAAGTTGCATCTTGGCCGGTGCCGCATTGTTGTCGACAGGTGTTGCATGCCCAATCAAGCTGTGCTATGCTGTGCTGGTTGTTGACACCCCTGTTCCCACAAGACCCGTGGGCCGAGCTAAGGCGTATGTCTTCTACTTTGAACTTGGTCAAAGCGGCGCTGAAGGGTTTCAGTTCGTCAACGATTCCGATTTGACGAGATGCCTGGCTGCAAATGGCATTTGTGCTGACACCGGCTTGCTCTCCATAAGAAGCCAGGAGTTATCCATCCCGACCGTCTGGTGGCTCAATCAGGCCATCCCAGGGGTGCACGGTTTAGGCGCTTGTCTCGATGCATGCCAGGAAGGATGGATTGTTAAGGGAGGTGGGAGACATCGAGTGCCCCGAAAAGGCGGTCCCTGGGTTTTTTTCCGGCTATGGACAGGGCTCCGCACAGAGAGGGGCAACGCCATGCAGGGGCAGGCCCACAGCCCCAGCCCAGCTCTGCCGTGCTGAGGGGATGGCATGTGTGGACCCCTGAGCCAAGTCACGAAAGCTGGCGTAGCGAGGCTTTCGTTTCTATCTGCATTAGCAGAGGCCACATGATGTGAGATATCGTGCATACCCCCCTCCCCTGTGCTGGGTACTGGAGGTGATGATGCCATCTCTGTTTGCCCTACTAATGCGGTTCTGGTTGTATGTGAGGCTCGCCAGCTTTGTCTCCCTCCGTTGCTGGTGGACCCGTTGTGATGATGCTTGGAGCCCGCTTCGCCAGCTCTGTTTCGCTTGCCGGCCCCGCCCCTCCAATGGAGAAGGCCCACGAAGCTCTCAGAACCTGCCAAACATTGATCCGCAAGGGGCCCAATCCATCCACCACCTTCGAGCGTTGCACACCTCGTGAGGGCTCAGGGCCTTCAACGTGGCGGACGTGATACCGCTACACCATGTGTCCCTTGGAGCGGCTTTTCGCTTGATGAAACAATTCCGCCAGTCATGTAAGTGCAAAGCAGGTTTCCAAGAGAGATTGTGTACAAATCCCGAAGCGATTCATTTCTGCTCATAGCGAGTTGGTGTGCTTCTGCGGCCAGCTGTCAGACTGGCAACAGGATCTTCTGGTCGCGAGTCGTGGCTTAGTCGCTGTTCCGTGGATCCTTTCTGCGCACTCGTCCGCGCGAGTCCGATTTTCGATCACTCCAGTCAACTGTTGCAGAGTCATCGTTCGGGCCAGCCCCAACGAGCGCACAGGCACCGATGCCTAGGCGCTCCTGCTTCTGGGGAGCTTTATGTCGCTCTATGCTTCCCCACGCATGCAAAAATTTACTGATGCGACTTGGGTTCCCAAGATCGGCTTCTTTGCTGTGGTTTATCGAGACCACCTTGGTGCTAGGTCCTTGACATGCAGATCCTCGGATTGATCATTTCGGCACTGTTTGGGCCCTTCCCGTGTGTGTCCTGCAGTGGCCGCAGCCTGCAACGCCTGCACTTCCTGCAGGGCCTGCAAGCGGTGTAGTCCCCGCTTCAGTGCCACATCGATTGAGAGGCGTCAACGCTTTCCAGATGTTTCAAAATCAAGAGGCCCGCTGCCTCTGCTGCTGGACCAGGTCAAAACTTGCAGTGCTTAGGGTACATGGCGCGGTGGCCAAAAGGACAGTTGTACAGCAATACCGACGAGGTTTGAAGGAAGCACGGGAGCTTTTTGCTTCTGAAACCCGAGCATTCGAGGAAAGACAAGAGGAACTGAAGGCAGATAGGTGCAGACCAGAGGCTGACTATATTTGCGGGAATGCAAGGTCTGGGTTGCCACGGCAAAGGATACTGTTCCCAGTTCTTTGGGGCAGCTTTGGGCGACAAGTTGAAGCTTCCCACTGCTGTTGCGAGGCGGTGTGCACAGGGCCGTGGTGTCCTCGATTGGCCACATTGACCAGGACAAAGTCCGGAACCTAGCGGCAGCTGCGGCTGAGATGATTTTCAAAATTCTGTAGACTCACAGTAGATTTAGTCCCAGGTTTGGATATGTTGGGTTTTGAGGTTTGGGCAGCCGGCTTGGACGGTGGTTCACCTGGCGACGTGTTCAAAGTCGACGTCCTGGCAGTTGGCCACTAGCCCCCATTCATGCAGCTACAGCAAGTTACCTGTCAACACATGCTATTACTGTTTTCGCAGAAGAAGCATCCGGGCATCTTAATTACTGAGTAAGAGTACGATTCATGTCGATGTGGCATCGTGACGAGTTCTTTGTTTCAGAGCGTGGCTTGGCAGGTGTACAAGCGATTGAAACGGTCTGGCACATGCAGCCAAGGTGATGTCGTCAGCCGCGTTACCTGGAGTCAAGTGAGCGATGGTGCTGTACCAAGGGACCGCGAGATTTGTGGGCCGCTGTGACGTGCGACGCAGTTGCGACGCCAAATTTCTGGCCTGGGCTGCGTGACTCCGCTTGTGCTTATGTACAGAATGCCGCCACTTCCAACCCTTCCATACAGGTCTTCCCACAGTTGTGCCGCTTCTGACTATTGGAAAAATTGGCGAGATTTGATGTCCAGCCACGGTGTTCGAGCAACATGCGTAAACGTTTGCAACTAACCGCTTCTGACGGCTGAAGCACAAGACGAATCATTGATTTGAGTTCATGGAATCTCGCAGCAGAAGTGGCTCGGTTTCAGGGAGGGCGGCATCGGCTTGCCACACTGGCTCTCTGCAGCCTTCGGAGTGGAGGCCTGGATTGGGTGTACTTTTGTACAGCTAGAATGGTCAGTGTGTCACCGAAACCGAAACCAAAAATCCGCTAGCGCGCATGGCTGTAAAGCTCCCACACCTGAATTTATAAAAACATTGAAGACCTTCCAGTGATCGTCCAGGGAACACTGTTTCAACTGAAAGTGCAAAACCAGCCAAGCCAAGCTCGATTCAAATCGAGTTCAGCTTCGTCACGCTGCTTCCGGAGGGTTTATAAAAAGGGATGCAGTTCCTTCTCGTCCATTGCCGTGGCGTGCTACCAAGGCTGAACCTCCAAGCGCACCGCGCCAAACTGTCACGACATGAAGAGAAGTTTCGATGCCTATGGACCTGCAGGAGGCGCAATCTGCTCACGCACAAGTCTCATGCCATAATGCTGACTCATAGGATGTTGCAGGCGACCAATGCTGTTTTAGATGTGGCAGGGCCTTTGTGACATGTTTTTGCAACCTGCATTGGTCAGTGACCGAGAAGCAAGGGGAATGAGAGCCCAGCTGGTCACTCAAAGACTGCAGGAGCTCCAAAATTTGCGCGCTCTGGCCCAGTTGTGGCGCTGAAGATGCTCGTGTCACCGAAAGAAGCAGGCACTTTGATCGGCAAAGGCCTGCTCGGTCTGGCAAGAAGCCTTCGGGCACATTGCTGCACATGTTGCAGCGAGATGCCCTGTGTGGCTTTGGCAGGTGGTATGACGCAGAAGCAGATATCTGATATCACAGGGTGCAAACTTCATCTCAGCGGCATGAATGAGCTGTACCCGGGAACTCAGATGCAAGAGGCCTCCTGGCACGTAGCCGAAGCTGTTTCGTTGATTCGGCCGAGATGAGAAAGCAAAAGGCAAAGTTCGGAAATGGGTCCTCATCGCCGCCTCATCGGTCGGGGAGGGTACTGGGGATCCAGGGCAGCATCGGGCCAACCGAAGCCAGCAGAGCATCAGGGCACTCCTTTCACAGGGATCGAGAGAACAGCAAGCGATCGGCTGTGAGTAGTCGGGCAAGTCGCGCAACTTGCTACGAACCATGCGGAGCACGCGGCAACATGTGGCAACAAATCAACTACTAGTAATCGGGAAAGCTACCAGCAGCTACCTTGAGCCTTCTGACCTTCCGAAAAAATAAAATCGCTTGGCATGCTTCCGACGGCAGGCAGCCTAAGTTTGCCTCATGTGAGCGGGGAACCCGGTCCAAGCGCAGGTTTGTGTGCGAGCTGAGCATCCTGACGCCGTGTCGAACGGAGTGTTGCAGATCCTCTCGAAGCTGTCGGAAGAGACAGGCAAAGTCATGGGTGGTGAGTGGGAGGTTGAAGATGGCGGAGCACGAGCTGCTTGCTTTGCACATGAAAGAGTGCTGTGATGCAAGTTCTGTGCTTCTGTCCAGCCCAGGTGCATTTCATCGTGCCGACTAGCGCAGCCAGAAATATTATCGGCAAAGGCCGGCACATGACAAGTAGGCAGCTTGCGGTGACCGTGGTGGGCATCAGAACCAGGTGGAGAGTACATCAAAGGACTGCGGCAGGCATCTGGAATGAAGGCCATGAGCCAAGTCGGTTTAAAGTGCGTTAAGCTTTCTGCCACGGTTTCCTGTGTGCGTGTGTGTGTGTGTGTGCATGCGTGAGTGAGTGAGTGAGTAAGTACGTAAGTAGGTAGGTAAGTAAGTAAGTAAGTAAGTAAGTACCTCAGTACTTTAGACGTGCATGGTGCATACTCGCTGTTGCTGACAGATAACAGGTCAAGGCAGGCTTTGGAGACCGAGTTGCTGTTGCATCGCGTGCAGCACGTCCACAGATGTCGACAGGTCGCGCAGGTACAAGGTTTCTCTTGGTTTCGCAGACAGTCCAGCTTTGCATGCATGCACGTTCGCCGCAATCCGTTTCATGTTGAGCACAACAGACACTCGATCCTTCGCCAGCAAACAGGAGCATCCAGCATGTCGCAACTGACTACATCCAACCATAAGTACGCCCAGCTTGTTGAGAGTGTGTGCATGTGTGGACTGTGGAAAACCTGATTGCCGAACCCGCGCTCTCTAGGAGCAAATGCTCCAGCTTGCGATAATGGCTCATATGTACACGTATACACACACACACACACCGATGCGTGGGCATCTGTGTGTGACGGTGAGTTAGGAGTGAAAGCCACCCCCCGAGTGCATCACGCTTCAGGCCAAGGGAAGAAAGTAAAACATACATATGTGTGGGCTAATGTGGGTGAGCACTGTTCCGAGGTGCACATCGAAGAAGTGGTGCTTGGCAACGGGGATGCAGCAGAGCAGGTCATATCTCTGGCTGGTCCCCTGCTGAACATGCAGACAGCCTTGCCCATGATTTTGGAGAAGGCATCCACGCAGAATACTACTGATTTGCTGATGGATTGCGGTGTGCCGCGTGATCCTGTCAAGTCATCCTCGGAAAAACACACGTAGTTATAGCTTGATGGCTCCAGTTCCAGCAAGCACGGGAGTGAGGCAGCAACTGGGCAGGTGGGCTTGCCGCCGCGTGCTACATCCGACAGCTGCAGACATACTGTTGTGGTGTTGTGCTTAAGATGCTCAAAGTTCCAAAGAACAACCAACGAGCCTTGAACAGTTGTTCCTGAACCTCAAGTTGTTTGTTCTCGCACTGTGGGAATCTGTGGACGAGGACTGGGGTTTACTCACTCCTTAGGGCGAGTTCCTCCGGGGATTTTACTCTGCGAGAATTGGGATCTGGCCAATGCGCGCTCAAAGCTCGGGGGTGGCACTTTTGTCATCTTTAGTTTGTTTGGTATGCAATCTTCTGAATTCGTGTAGTGTCGCCAGGATTCGAGCTTCTATGTGACTTAGCGTCGTGCGTATTCGAACCGACAGACCTCGTCTGGCGGAGTCCGAGTTGCGAGAGCGTAAGACAACCAGCGAAAACGCATCAGCATTATCAACATGGCCTTGCTCACTACTGAACCGCTCTCTGCTTGCAAATCCGGCCATTGCTGTAAGCATCATCGCGACTGCGGTCCGAGCATGTGCTGTTAGTTCGGAAGCGGAACTAAACGCAGCTTGGGTGCGTAATGAAGGCAAAAAAGGACTCCACATGGAGAGGAGTTGTTGAGAAGTGTTGTTCATGGCAGAGCTTCCCGCGGTCTGCGTCGTGAGTACGTTGTAAGCTTCGCTGGGATGGGGAGCTATCCTAGAAAGACTGCGTTCAAGTTGAATCATCTGTCCCCTAAAAAGAAGATGAAGTCAAATCCCGTCAAGCCCACGTCTCACCTCATCTCTCGGGCCCGTTCTGAAACGGTCCGACACCTTCTGGATGACCTTTTTGGAGTCCTTCGAAGCGCTCAAAAAAGCGGAGATAGACTTTTCAATTTCTTTGACGCCTTTCACGAATGCGGCGCTCAGGCCAGATTCCGAAATGGCCAGCGAACTCGCCGAGTCCATCGAATAGGATGAAATTGAGGATGGTCAGGTTACGTCGTTTTCGCATGCTGCAAAGGATGGTGCATTTTCGGATAATAGAAAGTACTTTCAGAGGATCCAGAAGTTTAAGTCATCGTGCCGACGAGGCCCTGACGAGGACAGACTGCAGACGTTCGCAGACCGCAGTTGGAGCAAAGCCTCGTTAAACCGACAGGGCTACTTTTGACAATGTGGGTTGGAATCCGTGCCCGTTGACCCCTCACGGTATGCTGGCAGTCGCTCTGACTCGCCTGGCGCTCGGCACTGCGCCTTGTTGGCTCCTTGGGTATGCTGCGCTTCTTTGTGGCTTCCTGGCTAGGCTACTGTTGGACGAGAGCTGATGCTCGAACCTGTTTTCGCGTCACACTTTGTTTGCATCAAGGACGGAGGTTGTCGTCATAGTGCTTGCGGCGAGCCTGCAGCTGACGATGACGACGAGGATGATGATGAGGATGATGCACTCCGGTGTTGGCATTGGTGATGATGTGACGGCCCTAGAACCGTCATCACCATCAAGGCCGTCGTTGCTGCTATCTTCCCCCCATCCATCCATATATATATATACACATACATATTTAGT